TAGGGGACAGCCTCATGTTCACTTGTCTCTCCTTTTGCTTTGTCTGAAATGACTGCAGCATTGGAACACCCGTAGTGCTCCTAGTAGTTAGGCAGCTTGCATCATGTGGAATCTAAGCTTCAGCTCACATAGAACCCTCAGTTTTGATAAAGAAAGTAGTATTTTCTTTTTACTTAAAGTAATGACCTTATTTGGCAATGCCGATGTGTGCCATTTTGATTGGTGTGAATTTGGATTACAGATTTATTTTAATAGGCCATTATATATCATTGACAATACATATTACGTGAACTCTGTATAATTCTATAAAGCTTGCTGAGCCAAAGCCTCTTTCTTTTACCCCTAAGTCCCCACATTGAATTAGGTGCTGTGATTACATAGGAATGTTGATCCTGAATGTATACCCACACAGCCGCTATTTGTACTCTAAGCAGGATGAAGGCCTGGGATTGAGCAGCAAGGCCATTACTGATTACAGGCTGCTCAGGTATGAGGGGTCTCCCCTTCAAAGACAATAACATTCCTCTTCTTCTCCCTCCACAGACGTCAATGTCGCTCTGAGGAAGATCGCCACTCTATTGAAGCCGGACAAAGATATTATTCAGAATGGGGAGCACATGGTGATTAAGACACTGAGCACTTTTAGGAACTACATCATGGATTTTGATGTGGGAAAGGAGTTTGAAGAGGATTTGTCTGGAGTAGATGATCGCAAATGCATGGTAAGAATTAAGGCCAGATTAGCCCATTTATTTAACAAAGAGTTCCTTAGTGAGCAGATTAGTTTTGTATTCTCTTGGGGTGTTACTCTCTACTACCTCTGCTGGGAGGCGATGTTATGTATTCAGCACCCTTTCAGCAAAGCTGTCCTGGCTCTTTCTCCTCCATTCTACATACTGTGAGCCAGTTTTCCTGGAATGTCTCTATTGCAGGTCAGTTAATTGTATATGAAAGTGTTATCTGCAAGCAACAGTTGCTGCAAACCATTAAAACCGTTAGGGACATGCTGCTTCTCAGTCACTGCTTCTCACTGGCTTGGTGCCCATTCATACCAGAACCATATTTTAATGTGTTGCATTTTGGAAAGACTGATTTGATTGGGAAAACCTGGTCAATGTCCCTACAATGCAGCATGCAGGGCTTTCTTTCCCATGCACAACAATACAATGCATTGGAGGGAAACAACCCCACTGAAAACCAAAGCCTTTTGTTAGGTCCGTGTGTTTTACCAGAAGTAGAAATGCAACAAAATGTATGACAAATCGACAAGCGTGAATAAGGCAGTGAAAAGCATCCCTTTGTCCTGCCTCTGCTTATATACAGAATGCACTGAATCTCCTGCATATGGTATATGTACACTTGCCTCACAAGTATAAGTACCAACAGGTACATGCATAAACTTGCAGCAGTCTGCAGTCCTTACTACTAGGTCCAAATCATAGGTTGTTCTGATTCTGCAAATCTCTGGTACTTCCTATTTGCCCACTCCCTCTCACTTCCATACATTCCTGTTAACCTATTATTAGGACTACTGGTATGCCTAATCAAGCCAGTCAAGCATATTTTTTTAGAATGGCTAATTTATATAGTTTGGTTTATTTCTTTTCAACTATCTCAGTTATTTCTGCACTGTCCATCCATTTTTTTTCCCTCTGATCTTTAATAATGTATTTTGGTGAAAGAAATATTAAATGTAGCAGAAGGAATTTGAAGGGGTCTGTAAGTAGCCCAACTGTACAAGCACTGATTTGTAAAGGAGCTGTAATAGTAGTGATCGCTAGCAGTTTCATGTAATATGTCTCTAGTCTATGACTGTCTCTTGAAACGTGTCCCCAATCTCCAACAACTTCTATAGCATGTTTGCAGTCTCTCAACATCTCGTGTTGCATGTTTGCAGTCTCTCAACATCTCGTGTTGCATGTTTGTAGTCTCTGACAGCTTATTACATTCACTGAATTTTTGGCAATATTAGGGGCCATACTAGAGGCCTCTTGTATCAAGTAAGTTGACTCCCACTGCATTTTACAGTAATCCTTTCTTCTTTTGGAGGGGAATTACTTGCATTTGAGATTTTGTATCCTAAATTCAACATCCATTCTCCTGGCTGAGTTTTTATTTGTAATCTGTGTGTATGTGTATATATGTGTATATTTATATATACTCTTATATAATGGAAACGTTTTAGGATTTTAAAAACATAACTAATTTACTTCAAGCAGAAAATCATTCAGGGTCATTATCTGGAGAGGGGAAAAGCATTCAGCATCCTTATCTGGAGAGGGGAAAAGCATTCAGCATCATTATCTGGAGAGGTGAAAAGCATTCAGCATCATTATCTGGAGATGGGAAAAGCATTCAGCATCATTATCTGGAGAGGGGAAAAGCATTCAGCTTCATTATCCGGAGTTATCTTTTATTCCTGAACATAGTGGTATAATTTCTGTGCTCGCTATAGGCCTAGTCATCGTTTCTGATGATAATACAAAACTTTGAATTACGCATTCAACATCTGGATGAAATCAGCTAGACGCCACCCATTGACCAGTGTAAACACTCGTTTCCTCTTCAGTTTATTCACCTTAGTTCATGCTATCTCTGTACACAGAAGTCATGCTGTTCTTGTAACTGCACTGTTTAATGTTCTGGGATGAACAAAAAGTCAAAGCATAAAGGTTATATACCATAAGAGGAACTGTGTAATATAATCTCTCTTTAAATTGACAATGTGTAATTTTGGGCGCTGCAGTTCATTTTTTTCCACTACCGTAATTGGATTTATAGAGAGAAAATTTGCTCAAAGCTACTATAGAAAAGAAATTTGAAATTGTTAAAGCCCTGGTACTTAAAAGTACTTGGCAGAATCTAGAAAGCCTGTTATGTAATCATGTCATAAATGCCCCGTATTGACAATCTGGAGGAATACACATCTGTCAGACTGGGGCAGGTGATCTGTACCAATGAGCTACAGATTAACTGTCCAGAGTTAGTTTTTTAAATATCCAAAATCTATGTTATGATAAAAAGTGTTTACAAATGTACAGAAAACAATAATCATGCCTATATTACAGGGAGGGGGAGGAGGCTGTGGCAGATAGTGTATGGGACACATTGCTCTGTCTGAGGAAGACATAACTAGATTCAAGTCATGTCATCGTGTGTGGTGTCTTACAAATTGTAATTTCATTCTGTGCAATCCTACGTTGGTTGTCATGGTCTTCTGGAAATCTTGATATGGCTGAGAAAATTGGCATTAAGGGAGTGTCTGCTGAAATATAATAAAGCACTTCAGGGCTACTTCTACATCACTCCCCTCAGCTCATTTGATTGGGGTTGGCTCAGCGACACTTTCTAGATGGTCAACAAAAAGCTGCTACTATTGGCAGCTGCAGCTCTAGTCTTCATCAAACTATAAAGAACATGCTAAGTCATTCATGAGATCTGGTGACCGTGATTGCACTACTGTCTTGAGAAGCCAGAGATGACAAGGGTTACACAATTCCCTTACACAAGCTTCAGTTACTCCAAGCACCCCTGGAAGCTCAGACAGGGCCTCAAGGCTGAAGCAAGGGCACAAGTGCCAAGGTGCAGGAACTGATGACTGGAATTAGGGAGTGCTGGTGTCAGATGTGTACAGCCATCGTTGCACCAAGGGTGTACTATGTTCAGATAGGAGTGGAGTTAGGTCACAGGCCAGGGTCATTAACAGATGAGCTGCAAGGCACCAAATTGTAAGCAGGGTCAGAGGTAAACCAAAATTAGCAACAAGCAGGCAGTGAGGTACAGTTCCAGTGAGCAGAATCTTGTTCAGATGTCCAGGCCAAGATCGGTATAAGGAATAAACAGCAAACCTAAGCAAACAAGAGAAATCCAAAAACAGGTCAGCACAAAGCTGGGTCAGCAATGAAGATCAGACAAAAGTTCAGGATCACGGGTTACAGGAAACAGACTTAAAGACCATTCAGCAATGAAGCTTTGCAGAATTCAAGTTTCATAGCCTGTTTGGTGCCAATGTCAATGGAGGGCATGCACACACATTTGTGCATCTGCTACGAGGTGTGCACACTAATGTGTGTGGTTACTAATCCGTGCACGCAACATTCCTTGTCTCTAACTCTCTATGCACTTAGACGTGCACATTTATGTCCTGACATCTGCTGTGCAATTAAATTGTACTAAGCACGAAACCAAGGACCAGGTGAACTTTCGCCAAGTACTTTTCACTTTTAATCCCCTTTATTTTTCTGTAGTTTTTGTATTATTTTTCTGTAAATGTTTTCATGCACCATTTTTCTTTTTCTTTCGTTAAAATGATATTTAAAATTGTTATGCTTAATTTCCAAATGCTCTAAATCAGAAATGAAAGAATCCTTGCATCTTTGAGGGCTACCACATTTTTAAATTCTGTACATTCCTGTCAGGTGTGGCAGCTAGTGTTAGATATTTTGTAATTTCCTGCCAGCTATTCAACTGGGTCTTAATGCTAAGAGATGAAGGTGGAGTCCTAAACATGTGACTATTGTGACTTGCTAGTGAAACAAATGGCAAACGCACTCATCAATTTATAACTAGCTTTAAAGCAAGGTAAAACATTCTTTACTGCATATTATTATTATTATTATTATACAGGATTTATATAGCTCCAACAGTTTGCGCAGCGCTTTACAATACAAAGACGTCATTGCAATCACAATACAATTCAAGACAAGATGGTAATGAGGGCTCTGCCCGTGAAGGCTTACAATCTAAAAGGGAGGGGCAAGTGATACATGAGGAGTTAGCTATGAGGGGATGAATTGTTTGAGAAAGTGATAGTTCAGTGGTTAGGTTGAGCTGGGATAGGCTTCCCTGAAGAGATGAGTCATAAGGGATCGCCTAAAGGCAGTCAGAGTGGGAGATAGACGGACCGGTTGGGGTAGAGAGTTCCATAGGATGGGAGAGACTCTAGTGAAGTCCTGGAGGTGAGCATGGGAGGAGTTGAAGAAGAATATCTCTATATAAACAAGTATTGACTTTGAATAGAAATTGTAAATCTGTGAAAATCTGCTAATTTATATTATACATTTGCTCTTTCCCTGAAACCCATTGGGAATAATATTAGCCAGTGATGTCTTAAGGTTACAAATAAAATGTTATTTACTGAAAAGTGAATGGTGGATATGAGGTGGGGGCTCAAATGAGAGGTGGTTATATGGCTGGGGGAATCAGCATGAAATTCAATCTAGGTGATCACATAAGGGACAAACGACTTTGCTTTATCTGATGGGTAGGTTAAACATCGATCAGAAGTGTGAATGGTGTTGGGGGAATGTGAGCAGATTTTGCTCATATCATATTTTAATGCAGCTTGGGTGCCAGCCATGCTGATCTGAGGTTTTCATGAAGGTGGTGAGTAAATATGACAGTAGTGGCGCATGGGAGAGGTTGGTCATCGTGTGTGTGTAGGATCAGTGTGGAGATGGGGGAAAGTGCAGGCCTGGCGTAGCAGGTTTGGGGGTCCAGGGGAGGGGTCAGCTGGGTGTGGTGTTGAGGGACAGTGTATGAAGAGTCAGATGTGGAGGACCAATGTGCAGGGAGGTGTTCCTGTGCAGGGAAGGGGACAGTCGCTGGCCAGTAGGCATGGCAAACCAATGTGCAGTGAAAGGGGTGATTGTTAATGGATTTGCAATGTGTGGTGTACTTACAAATGCCAACAGTAATTGGGCGATACAGTGGAAATGGTGTG